CAAGAACAAAACAACGATAGCGATGAGAAGAGGCAGCCACTTCGCACACAGCGTACTCTCACCTGAAATGGAAAACCATAAAAAAATATATATATATACATTGTAGTGTATCAGACCGAATCAGACAATTTAAGATTCGAGCAAGGACATGGTTGAAACACGAGGAGCCAAATTCCACAGAAAGGCCCAAGACACAGGATGTTTGTAAATCAGATCCTGGCGCCACAAGCCTGAAGCAAGTCCACCAACTAGCAGCTTTTGAGTAGCTCACAGCATTTAAGCAAAATAACACTTATTGACAATTCTAAGGAGATTGTCAATTTTGGGGCAAGTAATCTAAATTAAATGGTCAAAGAGATGCACAGCATGACCATCACATGTGAACCAGTGATAGTAATCACGATCACGAACTCTGTGGATTGACTTCCCCCCACCTAGGAGACAAAGAACAGACTGAGATTCCTTACAGACCTCTTAACCTCTGGTCTTCACAGAATGGCACAGAAACTGCCTTTCCATGCACCTAAATGACACTAAAAGGACTTGTGAGCAACTAATAATTTCTATGCATAACTCCATATTATGTATGTAACCCACATGTGTGACTATCAGGTTCTAATCACTTATTGTGTGTGTATTTTGAATAACTATTGAATAGTTTATAGGATTATATTCATGTTTAGTATGTGTGTGTTTGATCAATCAATTCTTTGTCAAATGTATCATTTTCTTGTTATAGAAATCATGTCCAAAATTATACTCTGCAAGAGCGGGAAAACTCGGACCATGTGACTGATGAGATAACATTTGATTTATGAATTGGGAGGAGAAATATACAACACCCCGAGCAAAGACAATATCTAATTGGTCAAGGCACCATTTGGGATGTGTCCAAAAGCCCAGTTTAAATACTCAGAACCCCATCAAATTATTGCCCCTTTGCCTTTTTCCCTTTTAGCTTTAAATCTTGCTCTTTTTTGCCTGCTTTTTAGTCATGTGCTTTCATCGCTTTTAGCCTTTTGCTTTTTAGTCATAGCTTTGAGCTATGCTTTTTAGTCATGCTTTTTGAGCGTGCTCTGGCTTACACGCCAGCTCCTCCAAAACCATGAGCAGAAACGCCACCTAGTCTCGTCAAACTTTACTTCTATTTCTTTACTTTAGTTTCTTTTATTTTCCGTTGAGAGTTTCATGTCCCGAGTTAAGTTTTGCCTAACGCCGCATCTCCGAGTCCGACCTCGAGTGCCGTCTAAAACTTCAACCAGTCCACAACAACTCCGCATCGCCAGTCAACGCCCAACCACTGGCTTCCCAAGACTGAATTTCCAGCCAATCAGCAACTGCGGGAAACCCCCTTTTTTGCAAGGATGACAACAAAGGGAAACCCCGTACACAGACAACTCAAGTAACTCACCTCCAGATTCTGTGCTGAACTGGTGCATTTAATATAAATTTTAACTTCATTGAGGAACTCAATTCGAGGGTTAATTAAGTGATTGATGGTTGTTCAGGTCTATGCAGTTGCACATATTGCTGTAAACTTGGGATTTCACATTTTCATTCTCTTAAACTCATTCTTTCCTCACTTTCTCTCTTTCTGAAACTTGTGTGAATGCGTGTGTTTGTGTGTTAGTTTATATGTCTTAGATTTATCTAATAAAGCCTTATTTATATTGAAAAGAGAAGTATCTTGTGTTTTGTGCTTACAAATTAATGTCTTAAACTGCCGATCTTGTTACTGTGCTAATAAATAGTGTTTTCACTATACTTTGGATATTAATATCCATTGCAGAATTGATGCTATACGGCTCGTTCAATGAATCACTGGCCAACTCCGTAATCAGCCGTAAAACAGTGATTCTGTCCAAATTCCCTATAAAATCTTAAATGATTCCCTTTGAGCTAAATTGACCTGTTTCCCTTACATACATACAGTGGGTACGGAAAGTATTCAGACCCCCTTAAATTTTTCACTCTTTGTTATATTGCAGCAACTATCCAACATGTTTTTGCAGCGTTGAGCAATGTAGCCAATCACAGACATATCTATTGATTTCTTAAATGCAATGGCTAATCAGAAACGTCTTAGTTTGTCAGAATTCACTCACCACTGAAAGCACTGGATTGGTTTTTATTAATTGCAGTTTTGCACGCTCGTGAATCATCTCATGACTAAGTGCAGATACAATGTAAATAAGATATATTATGATATTATACAACATTATGACTGTAACAACGTTTGTAGGTCGGGAAGAAGGAGGTGGTAACCGGCGAACATTTAAACAAACTTTAATAATAAAATAAACTCAAAAGTAAAATATATAAAACAGTAAACAGCCAGAGGACGTAACGGGAGATGGATCGGTTTGTGAAAGGGAAGAGAAAAGCCATAGATGAAGTGGCACAGACCCAGGCAGGTGCTGGTCATTTAAAAGCTAAATACAGAAAATATGACGAGGCATATCTTGCTCTCGGCTTCACTCACCTTGTCTATACCGCGCCGCAACAGCTCTACACTGGACGCGACAAAGCGACCGTTGCAAATCATTTTAACGTTGTGTCAGTACGTCATAAATAGAACAAGGCATCAGTTTAATGTTGGGTTTTGTCGCGCCGTGCCGCATCTAATGTACACAGCATCACTGATTATAATGGTTTCTACTGTATTTTGCCACTCGCATCCGGTGTAGACACGGTGTTTAATGTCATTGGTGAGGAGGAAAGCTTGAGTGTTCTATGCCTTAGCGGACAGCAAGAAACCCACAAAAAACTAATAAATAACAGAGAGAGAATAATAATAATAAGTTATTCTCTCTATGCTATTTTTCAGTGTTTCAAGTGATGCAGGTGTTTTTTTCCCTGTAGGTTTTTTAAATAAAAAAACATTAATTTTTCATGTTTAGTGAAATTATTTGGTAGTCTGAGGGAGGAGCAACCAAAAAAGTGTGAGAACCACTGGTCTAAAGTTAACAGACAGTGTTTAAAATGTGCAGTGCACATGTTTACATATGTTTATTACAGTGACTTTAAATTACCTAAAGTAGTGTGGTAAAGCAACAGATTTGTTTTTATATTTCTGCAATCTACTTTAGTTTCAGTCATTCTTGAGAAGTGGTGCAAAATTGAAAAAATAAAACCTTGTACTCAGACAAATGAAACTACATTGATGTATCTTATATGTACTAAGCTACTGAGCTACGCTTTGATACAACCTCCCAACTTTTCTCTTTTTTAACAAAATGTGCTTTTTTACCTTGGACTGTGTATTATAATTTCAACTTTATATTTAACAGCATTCAAGATGTTTTTAACATTTCAAAACACATTCTGGTGTTAGCAGACAGATTACACTTTCACATGTGACCAACAATTCCACAACAAATATAAAATATCATAATGAAATATTATCAAAATATTCAACTGACGGAGTTGACAGAACTGACAGAGATGACACATCTGACGGTGGTGACGAAAACCTGAATTTGTAGTCATTTTAACAATCAAAAACATTAAATCAGTCAATTACTGTATTAAAACAAACACAACAAACAGTGAGTATGTTATTGTTTATAAAGCTTTTATTCAAGAGTCACATTTAAGTATTTTGATATATCATTGGAACACAAAATCTTATGGTGGTGACATCTGACGGTGCTCACAAATTTGGCATTTCTTTCACAAAACCAATGGCATTCAGCCATTCTATTTTTTTCTATTGATGCTAGATGCTAATGGAACCTGCTTCAGAAGAATACAATTATCTAAATATTTCAAATAATTTCCTCAGAAATTGGAAGATGGTGTTGACATATCATGGCTGTGACAAAGGAAATATTAACATTAGGATTAAAAATATTCTAAAACTAAAACTGAGCAGAGCCTGTCTGACACTGATGTGCTCTACAGAGGTGAACTGTGGCGAGGGGGTCCTTTAGAGTGACAGCTGCCCCTGATATTCCCTGATTTTATTAAATTTTATTGAATGTCTGACGGTGTTGACAAAAAGTGGGGACGCAACTTTTAAAATATTATGAAACATGCATGTGTCATTAAAAAAAACAACCTTGCTTTGATAGGAGATATTATTAAGTGTTGCTTTTGATAAAACAAGCTCTTTTTCATCATTAATTTTTTTTATATATATCCATTTTATTGCATATGAATGATTGATCAATTCATGCATCACCTAATTTCATTGAAACATATAGGCCTGGCCTACAGAAAAAAACATTTATGTTTAATCTATCTAATAGAGTGTTGGTCATACTATACAATGATTTATAGCTTGTCATTGTTGAATAATACAGAACATAAAGAGCTTTAAAAAAATAATTGCATATTAAATCGCAATATTGGTTAAAAAAAAAATCGCAATTAGATTATTTTCCAAAATCGTTCAGCCCTACCTTTATATTTATACTGCACAGTCTATAGCCTCATGTATTGTGGTTACATGTTCATTTTCTAACACCAGTCCCATCTGCATTTTTTGGTCTCTTGTTTCTCATGTTCCTCTTGACAATAACCCATAGATTCTCTATGGGGTTCAGGTCTGGTGAGTTTGCTGGCCAGTCAAGCACACCAACACCATGGTCATTTAACCAACTTTTGGTGCTTTTGGCAGTGTGGGCAGGTGCCAAATCCTGCTGGAAAATGAAATCAGCATCTTCAAAAAGCTGGTCAGCAGAAGGAAGCATGAAGTGCTCCAAAATTTCTTGGTAAACTGAAGGGTGTCAATGATTGTCTTCTGGACAACTGTCAGATCAGCAGTCTTCCCCATGATTTTGTAGCCTAGTGAACCAAACTGAGAGACCATTTTGAAGGCTCAGGTAACCGTTGAGATAGTGAATTGGTGGGTTTTTGTTAAATGTGAGCCAAAATCATCACAATTAAAAGAACCAAAGACTTAAATTCAGTGCACACAGACTGAAGTAGTTTATTTAATACACGAGTTTCACAATTTGAGTTGAATTACTGAAATAAATGAACTTTTCCATGACATTCTAATTTATTGAGATGCACCTGTACATCTAAATGAGTCTCCATGTGGATGGGGCCTTACTATGATTGTTTTTTGTATGACTGAGTAGAGCAGATTAATTGATTAAAGCGCTTCCCACGTGCAGTGCAGTGATGCTGTTTCTCTCCAGTGTGAATCCTCTCATGTGTTTTCAGATGTGTTGACCGACTGAATCTCTTGTCACAGGGTGAACACTTATAAGGTTTCTCTCCTGTGTGTATCCTCTCATGTGTTTTCGGGTCTGATGACTTATTGAATCTCTTGTCACAGGGTGAACACTTATAAGGTTTCTCTCCTGTGTGTATCCTCTCATGTGTTTTCGGGTCTGATGACTTATTGAATCTCTTGTCACAGGGTGAACACTTATAAGGTTTCTCTCCTGTGTGTATCCTCTCATGTGTTTTCAGATGTGTCGAATCACTGAATCTCTTGTCACAGTGTAAACACTTATAAGGTTTCTCTCCTGTGTGTATCCTCTCATGTGTTTTCAGATGTGCTGACCGACTAAATCTCTTGTCACAGTGTGAACACTTATAAGGTTTCACTCCAGTGTGAATCCTCTCATGTGTTTTCGGGTCTGATGACTTATTGAATCTCTTGTCACAGTGTGAAAAGTTATAAGGTTTCTCTCCAGTGTGGATCATCTCATGTGTTTTCAGATGTGTTGACCGACTGAATCTCTTGTCACAGTGTGAACACTTATAAGGTTTCTCTCCAGTGTGGATCCTCTCATGTGTTTTCAGATTTGCTGACTGACTGAATATCTTGTCACAGTGCGAACACTTATAAGGTTTCACTCCAGTGTGGATCCTCTCATGTCTTTTTAGGTCTCCTGAATCACTGAATCTCTTGTTGCAGTGTGAACACTTATAAGGTTTCTCTCCAGTGTGAATCCTCTCATGTGTTTTCAGGTCTGATGACTTATTGAATCTCTTGTCACAGTGTAAACACTTATAAGGTTTCTCTCCAGTGTGTATCCTCTCATGTGTTTTTAGATGTGCTGACCTACTAAATCTCTTGTCACAGTGTGAACACTTATAAGGTTTCACTCCAGTGTGAATCCTCTCATGTGTTTTCAGGTCTGATGACTTATTGAATCTCTTGTCACAGTGTAAACACCTATAAGGTTTCTCTCCAGTGTGAATCCTCTCATGTGTTTTCAGGTCTGATGACTTATTGAATCTCTTGTCACAGTGTAAACACCTATAAGGTTTCTCTCCAGTGTGGATGTTCATGTGTACCTGTAAGGGTTTTTCTCCAGTTTTGACATGATTTTTCTCCTCAACTTCACTCAATTCTTCATTCTCCTCACTTTCTTCAGTAAACTCTAAAATACAAGCAAAAGTAGTTCATTTGTCAGCAACTTAAAAAAAAAACAGAAATGTGAAAGTACATAAAAGTGAACCCCTGTTGTAACAGTGTAAAGACAATTTCTATTAAAAAATGTGTTCCTTTTGATGCAGTTTCATAAACTATTCTTCCCTAAAAATATAAAATATCATTTTTAAAACATTATAGACACAAATCACAAGTTTCTATAAGGATAACATTTTTGTAGTTGATCAAACATTAAATAATCTAACATGCATTTTGTTGAAAAAAAGTGTCCCCCTATTTGCTCCATTTATATTATTCAACAGCTCTAAAGATTGTTTCTATTACAACAAACTAAATCTAAAACTACTTGGAACTTTATAACTGTCAGTATTATTAATCATCTGGGGTCGAAGACCGCACTGGTGTGGTCTGTCATGTTTTTTTCTTGATGACCACAAAAATAACTAAAAATACTCCATTATTTTTGATCACACATAAGAATAAAGTATCATTTGAAACAGCAAAAGGTCTACTTTTATTTGTGCATAGTCATGACAACAAAACAATGTGCTTTTGTAAAATAAAGAAAAAAACAGGGTGCACTCTCTGCAGTCAAGTTTCATCATAGACGTAAATAAAACAACCTGAATCTCAGCGAATACTTGCCTCACAGACATGAGAAATATATGAATAGAAAGCTTGAAAAGTCTGCTTTTAAATGAAGTCAGTCATGTCGAAAACAACTATTCTCTGATAAAGTCATCTGTATGAAACCAACACGAGGTCCAGTCCTTCTCATCTGAGCTTATTATCTGTAATGTGATCACAGCCACGAGCGGCTCCGCTTTTGATATGACAATTGACCACGTGAGACACCCATTATAATCAGTGATGCTGTCTGTCTATACTAGATGCGGCACGGCACGGCACGGCACGGCACGACAAATACGAGGTACTGACAGACACAAAGTTCAAATGATTGGCAATGGTCGCTTTGTCGCGTTCAGTGTAGACAGACTTTGGGCTGTTCACATGTCGTGCCTGCAAACAGTGCGACAAAATACAATGAACCCATTATAATCAGTGATGCTGTCTGTCTATACTAGATGCGGCACGGCACGGCACGGCACGACAAATACGAGGTACTGACAGACACAAAGTTCAAATGATTGGCAATGGTCGCTTTGTCGCGTTCAGTGTAGACAGACTTTGGGCTGTTCACATGTCGTGCCTAAAAACATGTGGAAAACGCCAGTCGCACTGCTTTCTCCTTCTTTCCAAAGTGCTTGGGAGCTTGCGCTTTTTTGGAGTCTGCCGTTGCTAAGCAACCATGATCTGCGCTCTCCACGATGACGTGGAAGTGTCAACAAAGAATAAATGGATTTCCAGCACTGAAAATCGCGTGCAGTAGCTTTGCTACTAAATGTATTTAAAATGGGTATCTCCGTACAGCTGTCGCATCCGGTGTAGACACCGTGTCTGTGTGTGAGCAAAGAAAACAATCAGTATAAATATAATGATCAGTAGCGTATACTAAACATTGCACATCCTGTGATGTGAATATCGCGGATGCGCACATCGTGATATAGATGCTGAAACAATATATCGCACACAGCCCTATATGACAGTTTGACTTTGTTGAATAAACATAAGCACTGCATACAAAATCAAAATGCAGCACGGGTGTTCTATAAGAATGTATCTTTGAAGGGAACTGACTGTCTTCAGAAAAGTTTCGATGCATTTTCATTTTATCTGATAAAGTAGCATTCATGAGTGTAGCGCTGCTTTGTGTACAGCCGTTACCGGGAAAACCGCTGTCTCTGCTGCTACAAAAGCACCTCCTGCTGGCAGAGAATGAGCCTGTCCCCAGAAACATGTGTTTTTGCTGCTCGATTAAGGTAAAAATCATAATCACGGTTATTTTGGTCAATATTGTAATCATAATTATTTAACACGATTATGAGCGGGTCCGAAACTTAATATGATTGATAGCAATACAATTTACAATTTAAAGATAGCAATACAATACAATAGAAAAAGAAAAAAAAAGATACAAATGAAACAGTGTTTTTTGGGGGGGGGAGGGAATTTAATGTAATTAATTAAATGTAATTAATTTAATGTAAAATAAAACAGCATAGTCTTCACTGTAAGAATTAAACAAGCTTTGTTTCTTTTAAAAACTACTAAAGTCCCTCAGTCAAGAGCAGTGAGTGATTTTGTCTTTCTTTTGTTGTTTGATCAATAGTAAGCACAGAGACGGCAGAAAGAATATTACTTGTTGCCGCTTTAAGAGCTGCACGGATCCAATATACTGTTACACACGTATTTTTATTCTCAAATATTCACGTTAATTTAAGACATAACTGACGATGGTTTACACAAATAATCACCAAGCGCCGCATTTGCGTGTATTTGACCGTTTAGGCACGCATCTTAAGCCAGATGTTCACTTTACTTGTCCGTGTTCTGTTCCATCTCTGAGCGCATACACAGAACAGCGCAAGTTATCTTTCAAGTGTCTCTTTCTCTTTCACATCAAATAAACATTAATAAATCAAGCACGTCCCATTTTATGAAAGTTACATTACTGATTTGCATGTGAAATTGGGCTTTTATGGAGGAGCGAAAGTGTACCGCTGGAAAGGGGGCGGAATGGGGGCAATAATCGGTTTATCTTGATTATTATATTTTCATAATCGTCTGAAGTCGAAATCTAAACTGAATTCCGTTTAATTGCACAGTCCTTTTTGCACAGTTTTTGTTGTTGCTCACTCTATGTTTCTATTTTCGGCAGCAACACTAAGCACTTTCCGTATTATTTTTCCTGGCAAAAGCACTTTTGTTTCAATCTATAACAATAATCAGCCTATGTGTCATGTCATGCATTCGTTTGTTATTTTTTTGGCACCATCTTGTACGAGTGAACTTGAACTAGTTGTGTTCAACCAAGTCTCAGCCTTTCTCACACAGAACAACCTCCTGGACAGCAATCAATCTGGCTTCAGAAGTGGACATTCGACCGAGACTGCCTTGCTTTCAGTTGTTGAAGCCCTAAGACTGGCAAGAGCGGCTTACAAATCTTCTATACTTATTTTGCTGGATCTTTCTGCTGCTTTTGATACAGTGAACCACCAGATTTTCCTGTTAACCCTATTGGAATATAGCATCTCAGGAACCGCACGCCAGTGGTTTGAGTCTTACCTCTCTTACCTTCAAGGTATCTTGGAGAGGTGAGGTGTCCAAGTCGCAACATCTAACTACTGGGGTGCCTCAGGGCTCAGTACTTGGACCACTTCTCTTCTCTGTCTACATGGCATCAGTAGGTTCTGTCATTCAGAAATATGGCTTTTCATATCACTGTTATGCTGATGACATTCAACTCTACCTCTCATTCCATCCTGATGATCCGACAATAGCTGCTCGCATCTCAGCATGTCTAACAGACATTTCTTGTTGGATGACAGACCATTACCTTCAACTCAACCTGGCTAAGACAGAACTGCTTGTGGTTTCAACAAACCCATCACTTTATAAAAAATGTATTTGTTAGGCTCATCAACCACAACTCCTTCAAAAACAGCTAGAAACCTTGGAGTTGTGATTGATGATAAGATGAATTTCTCAGACCACATTGCTAAAACTGCACGGTCCTGCAGATTTGCTTTATACAACATTAGGAAGATCAGGCCCTTTCTTTCAGAACATGCAACACAACTCCTTGTTCAAGCTCTTGTTCTATCCAGGCTGGACTATTGCAATGCTCTCTTGGCAGGTCTTCCAGCCAGTTCTATCAAACCTTTACAATTAATCCAGAATGTGGCAGCAAGATTAATCTTTAACCACTTGAACGCTGCGCCCTCAATCGGACCCACATGTGGTTCCAATATTGCATCATCAAAATTATTTTTAAAAATTAATAATAATAATAAATAAGTTGTGGAGCACAAAACTAGACATATATGGTATATTTTAAAAGCTTAGAACCTCAGCTTTCATAACAACCCCATCACTTTTGCATTTATGTTACATGAAAGAACATAATAAGGTCTGAATTCGACCCCCTCGCAACGACCCCCCCCCCCCCCCCCCCCCACAT